GTTAGCTCGATGGGGAAGATGTTGTAGAAAAGTAAGGTATCTCATTATTGACCAGTTAGTGATAAAGTACCAATTGCTTCAGATACAGCAGACAGCAATTGAGTCACAACCTGGCTTTTCCCCTGCAAACACCAGAGCAAGGGCATCCCACTGGTTGCAAGCCACGCTGGGATGAAGAAGGTTTCATTTTCTGGTGATCAAGCTAGAACTGAAGCTTGATCATTGTTTCTGAAGCTGGATCCAGCCATGCTGACAGTCACTTTGCATCTGATGGGCCACTTTTGTGAAGGAGGAGGGGAAATAAAAGGTAATGTTCAACTGCTTAGACATTGATGCTATTTCTTTCTTTTTTTTTTTATCTATAAATGAGGCTAGGATGAACTCTGAAGGAAGCAGATCTAGTATTTACACCTTAAAGACTCTGAGATACCCATTTTGTGTTTGGAAATGAAAGACAATATTTATTTGTTCTTTATCTTTGAGTTTTAAGCTTCTTTCCATACCAAAAAAGTGTGGGAGAAGAATAAGAGATAAAGATGTGTTTGAAATACAAGCTATTCTTTGAAGCTCTCACAATATTTTAAAGCTTTTCCCTACAGCTATTTATTCCATGCACTTAACATCTGTTTTATGCTTTGATATATTTTGCAATTATTTTTCATCCTTAATTTGATTTTCTTTTAATAACATTGTTCAGAAAAATAGTGGGTGACAAAGATGACTAGCATGCATCAGATAATCCCTATCTGACCAAGATGAGTTGTTTTAATTATGTACGTGTACTTATTGTGCCATAGATCTACTTAAAGGTTTTATGATTTTCAGGAGGCAACATGATGGGAAAAAAACTTTTCAAAGGATTCAAAGTATTAGATAAAATAGTCTTGCTTTTACACAGCATATACATTGTGGTTCCCCACTTACAAGACCACAGTTTGCTGATGAATTAAAGGAGCAACATCAAGTCACTGGGTAGGAAGGAGCTTGGAAAGATGGGCCCTTAGCAAGGGTGCTGTCACTAGGGTTTTCTCCTAAAGATCTCAAGGGTGAGATTGCTTGGTCCTACCAAAATCATCAGAGTTGCCATTCAAGAATTGTCTGACCCCCGCCATACTTCAAATTGTACAAGGAGAAATAGCCTCTTGTTAAAGCAAAAGTCATTTTGTTATAAATTATGAATATTCCACGTATTCTCTCTTTTCCCACTTCTTCTCTTTTCCCATTTCTTCTTTTTGGTGGTTTTGGTTTGCTGCTTGTTTGGGGTTTTTTTGTTCCCCAGGTACATGAATAGTCTCTTTTCTGTCAGTACTTGATTACCTTATTTGTCTACAACCAGCTTTGATTTTGCTGCTTGTAAGTTTTCTCTGAGAATTAGATATTACTTAGATATACAAGCACTGCTCTAACCAGGCAGGTTCTGCCTCTGACAGAGAAATGGGAATGTAATGGAGTTTTTCAGTGTTCTCTATTATAACTCTATTATAAATTACTTGTATGGTATCTAGCTGTGGGTACTATATTTCCTTTATTCCTTGGTGATTCTAAATTGCCTAGGGAAAAAACAAACCAACAAAACCTTGTTGGAAAAAAAAACCCAAGAAAACAGATTTTGATTTCATCCCAGAATCAACAAAGTATTCCATTTGACCCCCCATTAAATATTTCATTTTAGTTTCAAAGACCTTAAGCATTTTAAACATAGAATAAGGTTTACAATTAAATATTTGCAGAAAGTATTTTGATGAGAAAGAAATGTTACTTAAGAACTAAAAGATTAAGATAACTTGTTGAAATTGATGGATAGTTGTGAAGTGTTTAGATCAGCCTGAACCTGTGGGTTTTTAAATGGGTATGTTTTTAAATAGACCTTTCTCTAGCTCAAGGTCAGCACCTGCCACATGCATATACAGTGCTTTACATCCAGCCAGACTTGTCCACGTTTATGTTCTTAAGAGAAGAAATTTATCCTCAGTGCTTGAACTTCCTAAAATGCAGTAAACAGTAACCCCTGATCTCAGAGCCACTGGGCGCAGCCCCCGGGGTGCCAGGTGTGATTTCCAGTGCTGGCCATGAAGTGGGTATTACCTGCTATTGCTGTGGCCAAGGAGGGTATGAAGAGAATTAACAACCAGTGATATTATGTGTGCCAGCTCTACAGTAACTGCCATGATAACCACCAGAAGTACATGTATCGTGCTGGCATGTGGTGAAAACAACTGAATTCTCTGTTTTTCCCCACTCATAGACACAGTATTTCTTTTTTTCATTTGTCATCAAGGCTTTTTTTTTTTTTTTTTAAATGGCTTTTCTCACTTTATTTTCTCACTTTTCTGCTGAGCTTTCTCCCCATCGCTATGCAAATGAACACATTTGTACAATTCCATCAATCATGAGAACTCTGTCGTTGTCTCTCAGCAGGCCAAAATTAAAACAATCCATTTTTATTGGCTGTGGATCTTCATGCAATGTGCCAGCAAGGGCTGCTCTGGGGACAGAATGGCCAGAAATGTCCAGCCTCATGCATGGGATGTTTTGAAGAAGCCACCATTACAACTGCATCAGCTTCTGCTCTTATGTAGCAGCTGGGAGCAGGGACGTATTGTGATGCAGAAGGAAACAGGATGAGAATGGAGCCATTAGCCACGTCTGGGGAGCTTCAGGCTGGAAGATGAGTTATTCACTCACCCATGTGCAGGTATTCCTCAAGGGACAATGCACCCCAAGTAACCCACTCACCCCTGTGTTGCTATCCACAAAAATGCCTGAAACAAGGAGAAATAGAGAATGCAGCACTTACCTGGCTATGTGAGTGAGATCATCAGCTCCTATATAAGCACCGTTATGCTGTAATTAGTTGCTACAAATTCTACATATTTTAGACTGGCTGTTGACCTTCAAAAGGAATTTATTTTCTTATTTTTCAGTGCTTAGGTATTTTAATTCTTTCTTTGAATTTCCTTTTAGAAACATCTTTACTACTTAAAGCCCGCCACTTTGTGCCTTAATATGAGACTCTCATTTGATTTCATTTTATATCTGTGATATAAATCTTTGATCTTTATTTTAGCTTTGTCTATAATGTAACCACTGAGGAAAATGCTAAAGAGGTCTCTGATTTTTTTCTGTCATTAAAAGTGGGATCATGATTTTCATAGAATTCAGCGTGAGGTAATGTTTCTCCAGTCTAGTTCTCACATTTTAAATAATAAAAGTCAACAGAATGCCACTACAGATTTTTTAATTTCTTTTTTGGTGCTGTAAATTGCATTTTGATGATTCTCCAGTATTGAAAGAGCGCTCCTGCTGCACTACCAGGAAGAATCCCTTGTTGCTTCTAGCAAGAATTGTCATGGTGATGCATTCTGTTGACCACAGTTTAGAAACACAGATTGTTCCTAATTTTGGTTCCCTAATTTACTCTGGGTACTGTAATAGCTCTGTTTCTTTCTCTCCCTCTCTGTTTTATTTTTTGTTTTGTTTTGTTTTGAGTTTTTTTAACATGACAAACTATATATTTATATATATACACAAACTAGGATCTGCCCTTTCACCTTCACATATACAAAATGTGCTGGCTGATATTTTCTTGCTGCTTGTCTCTATGTGGGTTTGTGCTGTGGCTGCAGCCCCCAGATCATGTCATTCTTGTCCTCACTGGTCCAGCAGCATAAGCACTGCCCTCTCTGCTTGCTGGCATCCAGCTACCAAAAGGACATCTTGCCTTCTGCTCTTGGACCACGACATCGGAGAGAATCCTGGAGTGCTCTTCTTGCAGGAGAACGCTATTTTGCAGCCACTATAGAAGATGTACTTCAGATACTTGAATTGCTCTCTCTGAATGCAGAAGAAGAATGGGAAAACCCAACAGGGCATTAAGCACGGGGCTCGTTATTGGCATGCAGGCACAGCCTCTCTGTGGCTAATTGTGCCTCCGTGGGAGAGACCAGGAGTGGCCTGAAGAGCGCTTGGTCCTCAGGAAGGCTGGCAAGCTTTTAACTGAGCTAAGAGGCTCCACGAAGAAATTTAATTTGGCAGTGGAAGTGCAGCACTTGGGTTAGACTCAAGTAGTCTTGAGATATAAAAACATTTCTATGGGAGTTCTTGGCCGAGAGAAGAGTCCAGCAGCTTGCGGTGTGGAGTGGTGCTGCTTTGTTTGTTTCATCATCGTGTTGATGGCTTCAAGAGGTAGTGTTGGCCTGCATTTATGTCTAAGCATTTACTGTGCTTTCATACAAGGACTAGAAGCAGCTCCTCCTGTGGTACTGGTCTGTTTTGGGCTGGCAAGGAGCTCCTGCCATTCCTGCATATGAAGTCTGAACAAAGTCTTAAATGAAAAGTGAAACTGGCATCCCTGCCCATGGCAAGGGGGTCAGAACTAGATAATCTTTAAGGTCCTTTCCAACCCAAACCTTTCTGTGATTCTATGATTCTGTTGATACTTCTGCATTTCTTCAAAGACTCAGAGCTACCGCAATCCTGATTCAGCCCCAGGCCTCCAGGAGAGAGGATTTTTCCTTCTGTCCTATCCTTTTTAAAGGATAAGTAAATTAGATCATCCAGACTTCAGGGAAGACCTTGCAGGTGTACCTTTGGAAGGCAGTAGAGTGGGCTGGGGTGAGATTTGCATACCTGGTTGTGCAGGCACAGCCCTGGAGATGGGGAATAATGAGACAAGCCCTGGGAGCGAGGGACGGTATGGGCAGGCTCACATTCGCACTAATCTGCTTTTTAACATTCATGATTCGGCACAGCTGATGAAGAGGTGTGTGGTTTCCAGCTACAGAGAGAAACAGTAAAATACCTTGGACAGTATTTGTGGCTATTGGTCATAAAAAAAAAAAAGTTTATTTCTGGAGAAAGATGGTTATTTTTTTTTCTTCCTAGTCCACAAAGGTGAAACTGTCTAGTGTGACTTTTCAAACTATAAATCCAAGTATATTTTGCTTGTTTTCTTCTGTTGTTAAAAAAATATAAATTGAATGCTGTTTGTTTTGACACAGTTTCGCCTAGGCCATTCCAGAGGAATGGAAATCCTTCAAGATGAAGCGGAAGATGATGAAAGCCACTGGGTCTGTCTTCCCACATGGCGCAGGCAGCTGTGTCCTTGCTCGGAGATCTGCAGAAGACAAACCCCAGCAGAGTCAGAAAAGCTAAGCTCTACCTGCATGCCAGCTGCACTACAGGTAACTGCTATGCCTTTTATTTTAACGTAAATATTTTCTATATTTAAAGAGAAATCAGAGATTATGTGGGGGGAACTAAGGCTTGAAAGATATCTCAACAGAAACTCGGCTCTGAACCATTGTCCCAGGGGTGAGGAACAAGTAGAGGATATGGAGGGAAACATGCTTGATTTCAAGGAAAATGCTGATTTCTAAGACGTGGTAATTTCATACAGTTTATGCAAATTTCACTAAGTCTTTAAAAAAGTCACACAAAGGACACTTTGGCATCAGCTTGAAAGGAATGTAAATTAACATATCCTTAATGCACGGTCTTGTTTGCTGGCAAAGACACGTCTAGAGGAGCTGTATTTCCCACTGAACTCCTTGAGTGATAGCAATGCTGGCACAAAGTTTTGTAATTTTATGCTATTGCAGGAACAAAGTCATCTAGTTGAGGATCTAATTATTCTGTGGCTGCATTTTCTATTTTTTACATCCCAGTAAATTCCGTGTTTTATGTAAGATTACACACAACATACAGGAGAAATACAAATTGTTCAAAACACACTAGAGACGTCAGCAGACATGTTAAGAGCATAAGTGCTTTGAAAGAAGTCAATGTATAGTCCATAAAGGAATATCAATGGTCTCTATTGGATAACGGAGGAACTGTGTGTGTGCTTGTGCATAAAAGGTGAAATTCCAGTTCCATGTATACAGAGTAGGGATGTAGGACTGGGCGCCTTGGTGTCATGGTAACAAGGCAAGGCATGTGGTATACATACATCTGAACATCAGCGTCCTCACTTTCTTCTAGGATGTACTGCTTACAACTTTGTAATGACCTCAGTCAAAAACTAGGCTGAATGCCAGCATTTCTCATCACAAAAAAGGACATTCTTGTGGCAGCTAACATTTGTAAAGTGAGTTAATGGTAGAGCTTTGTTCATTAAAAAGGAGATGTAAAAAGCGCATGTGGAGGATTTCTTCTAATTTATGATTATCCACAATGATACCTTTCATCACCACCATCAAATATTTAAAAAGTCCTTTAATCAGATATTGTTAATGGTGGGTAATTCTATTTCATAGGATCCCTGCCTGGAATCCTCCCTGGGTCCCCCTGTAGCTGTGCCCAGCTGTGCTCCAGCCCCAGGACCCCTTCACATGCTTTCTACTATTAGAAAAGGGGAATTTCAGGAACTGCTGAGTCAAGGCAGAGCACTGGAGGGGGTGACAAAAGGGGTTTTGCTGACATATCTCCTGGAACACATCCTGGCTGTCACAGGGGGAAAATGTGAACCACCATAGCCCTGACAGCTGCGACAGTGCATTGTCAGCCAGCAGCCCCCTCTAATCTTATAGGTGTGGGGCTGGGTGGAAGCCTCTGAAAATGCAAAAGTAAGTGACAATGAAATTCCTTCTAAGTGATAGATTTTGAACCTCAATATTCTTTTTTCCATACTCTGCTGCTGACAACTGCTAGCTAAATTGATAATTGATTGGATATAAGGAGGAAGTTCTTTACTGTTTTTACTGTGAGGGTGGTGAGGCACTGGAATGGGTTTCCCAGGGAAGTTGTGAATGCTCCATCCCTGGCAGTGTTCAAGGCCAGGTTGGACAGAGCCTTGGGTGAGATGGTTTAGTGTGAAGTGTCCCTGCCCATGGCAGGGGGGTTGGAACCTGAAGATCGTAAGGTCCTTTCCAGCCCTAACTATTCTGTGATTGTATGATTCTACATAATAGCATTAGGTTCTCATTTAAAACCTGATTTACGAGCTTTTTTTTTGTGATTAAAATAATTCTGAATTAAAATCCTTTATATGTGACATACATTTGGACAATGTGGGGACATGACAACTTTTTTATCAACAATGACTCTTAAAAATAATATTGAAATATTTGGATGGTTGAATAATTGTCATTATTATTAAACCTATTTTTTCTTCTGATCTCATATTCTGTCTTTCTTCAAGAAAAGGGTTTACATATATTCCTTTTTCTTTTCTTTCTTTCTTTTTTCTTTTGTTTTAGGACATGTAAATATTTTGCTGAAGAAAGCATCTTAAATATGTATCACTGGTGAACTGTGAGAACTTTGTGGCTAAACATAATCATTCACATCAACAAAAACTCTATCATGGTTTTAGTTATATTCTTCATTCAGTGTGAGAGTACGTTTGAATTAATGTTAGACCCTCAAAAAAATGGTTTTACAGTAAGTGTTAGCACATAGTGAGAGCTATCTAGAATTGATCCTCAGAGATTTAATCCTCTGCTCTGGCACACCATCAAGGCCAAAGAAATCTTGGCCTTGTCTTCATCTATTTTCACACCTTCTTCAGATTAGAGTTGAAGGAAGCAGTCTAAGGAAAACCAGATTGCTTTGAAAGTAAAGGCTTTTTTTGTCTCCAAATTCTCCAAAATCTACTTTTAAAGTTTTTAAAATTCGGTTTTGAGCTATTTGCTAGAAAGAAGAGATGTTTTAGGAATCTCTTGTAGGCACTGAAAAAGGAAAATTTGATTGTCTATTATATTTTACTAATACACTGATTTTACAGTCTACTGTATTTTAGTCAGGTAGCCACTCACTTCTTTTCCCTGTGGTGTCCTACAAAATGTACCCTACTTTCTGCTTGGTCCTTGTTTCATGGTTTGGATTTTTCTTGCCTGTATTCACATTCTGAAGCAATTGATAGAAAAAAAAAAGAGTATATTTTAATTGCTTGAAGAGAATCTCTATGAGACTTATTAGGAGATATTTAGCACTAGTTGTCTCCTAGTTCAGAGATATTTTTTATTTGATAGATGTTTCTATTATTCAATAAGAAAAATATCATGTTTGAGACTTTACTATGCAGAAGTGTGAAGAACTAATTCACACTGTGATAAAACAGTTATGGAAATGAGATGGGGAGGGATCATTTATCTGAAAGATTACTTAGGAATAGCATCAATCATCAATGCCAGATAATGAAGCCCTATTCCTGTATTGGAAAAACAATGCTCTGACCCCTAATATTTGAACACAAAGGGGATTTACCAACTTCCTGAGGAGATTTTACTTCTGCTATAAATAGATGTCACAAATATTATTTTGTGGTTAGATTTGCCATTGTTGAGTATGGGCAAATTATTGGTTTTGCTAGTAAAGCTCACTGTTCTGTAAACGGCAGAACAATAAAAAACAATCAGAAATTTTGCACTTAATTTAAAATAATACAAATAGAAATAATATTTTCATAATAGAACATAATATATGTAATGTGCAATACGTAAATTAGTTACCCGGAAACTTATGTAAGTTTATACTGGTGCATTGAAAAAAGTAAGCATATTTTGCAAGAAAGTTATATTTACAGTACATAAAAACATGTTCCAAGTCTATGGAAAGTACTTTGAAGGTGAAGTTGCTGATTTGTGCAAGCTGCTGTTTTGAGACGTCTGTGTTGCTTGCCCTGGATCCCCTGGGGGATTTAAAAGACACGTAGATGTGGCACTTAGGGACAAGGTTTAGTGGTGAGCTTGACAGTGCTGGGTTAACAGTTGGACTGGATGATCTTCCAACCTAAGCTGTTCTGTTCTATTCTATTCTATTCTGTTCTGGTCTGGTCAACAGAAGTGATACCAACCAGCCAGCTGAAGTTTTCCATGTTTCCTGTCCCCCTGTTATCCATGACTGACAGAGATCACAGGGACAGAATACTGTCTGCACAAATGCAGTAAGAACAGGATGGAATAGAATATAAACAGTTGTTAAACAATATTTTCATGAGATGCCATGAAATGTAATTCCCATCATAAAGGCAGTTATAGGTCTGTATGGATGACAGTGTATTTATCCTCTCAATACAGTTGGTGCATGTATGGCTGTGAGAGGACCTCAGTGAAGGTTAGAATGAAAAATTACAGGTGAGGTAGCATTTGTGCACATTGGTGGGAGAAGCAAGTACAGCCTGTCTATGAGTGGTTTCCTGATCCTTCAGACTTGGAGCAGCAATTTCACAGCTATATGGTTGTGTCACCTCGTTGCTGCTGTGGCTGACTATTTCCCAGCCCCTGCCCTTACAGAGCAAACCTACAGGACAGTCCTTCATCCCCCAGCTCTGGCTCATGGCAGCTGAGCCACAACACACACAAGGGGAAGCAGTCTGAAAGGAGAGAGCCCACACCAGGTACAAAACTTGTGTGAGCTGATCTCTGTGCCAGGAGCAGCATGGAGCTGTTGGTAGCATCTGTAGGACAGCCACGTGAGTACTTGAACAGAGATTGCACTGGGAAATTGGGGAAGCAGGATTCAAATTGCCAGTGAAATCTGAAGACCTAATTTAATGGTAAATGTCCTGCAAATGATGTCCCTATTTTAAGCATTCCTGGGACACAAGAACTGCCTTCCTGCAGGTAAGCTCTGATTTTTAGCAAGTGTGCTTTAAAGAGAAGGGTTTTCAATAATGATTGTCCAGGAAGCATGTGCAGACAGAAAGGCTGATTTAGATATGCTTGTGTGTGTATTAGATATAAGTATATACACACACACAGAACAATTTGAGACTGAACCTTGATCACATGGAGAACTTCTCTAAAGTGTTACCCTGGGCATTCCTATGACAGTAAAAGCCACAAAGCTGTTGTTATTCTGTCAGCTGGAATCACTGGGAAAAAAACAAAACAAAACTGTAATTTTTCAATTTTCTCTTAACTTTAATTGCAGTATAGGCATCAACAGGTGCTTAAGAGTACAAAAGCAAAGGTAACAGTTATATAGATACAGTCTTGTAGCAAACATTTGTGCAGAGTTTTAAAAACTATGAGAAAGATGGGCGTAAGGAAGAGTACATGAACAAAACCTGACCTCATCTAAAACAGTGATGGAAACTGTGGTGCTGCCTATTCTTGAAGGACGCCTTACGCAGGCCAACTGAGCACATCCCTTTAGCCTCCACACCTCAGCTTTCCACACCTCACTGAACAAAAATTGGATGGAAAAGCCTGGAGTTTGGCCCTCTTTTCACTTTAGCCCATCCATCTTTCCCCACAAGGCAAAGCAAAACTTGCTTCATTTTTTTCATAACAAGGGCAAAAGTACTGAGATGCTGGTGAGAGTCAACATGCCTTTTTCTTTTGGATGTGGAGGGAAGCTGTAGGGTCTGCTGCTTCCATCACTCCAGCAGCACAGAAATTAATTCTCTTGCAGGAAACTGCAGTCAAAGGGCAGCAGCAATAGCTGTGGCTAAAGAGATGTACGGTGGTGATCCTGCCACAATGCAGGGCCACATGGCCATGGATTCTGGAAACCACAAAACTTGGTAAAACTCCCCTGCTGCCTCAGGCT